CGTAACGCATCTCATTGCACCGCGATGAGACTTGTTTCGTATCACAATACTGACCATCACGGACACGATGGTACTTTTCCAGTTGACAAACTTTTTGCTATTTAAAGCAGCTTTTGGCCACTTTTTCAAGGGTTCAGAATCAGAGAGAGAAAGTGACATATATGGTCATTCAAGGAGGAATTTTGAAGCACATTGAAGTCATTGGAGAGCAATTCAGTTGGACTTTGAGACTTCACACACAATAGAGGATGAATTGTTTTGGAAAAACATGAGTTTTGAAAACTTTTGGCAATTTAATCAGAGATTAAAAATATTTTCAAAAGTCTAAGCAACGGAAAGTAAATAATAAAATAAATTGTGAAAATTAAAGAGCTGAGGGAAGAAGAAGAACACCAAGAGTTATACAGGTTCAGTAAAAAATGACTTAGTCATGTCCCCAAGATTTGATCTTGAGAGCTTTTAGTAGGAAAGGCTCGTAAACCCCCTTATACAAGGAAATGGTGGTTGTCCTACAACCATAATAATACAAGACGAAAGATATGAGCGTTTACGTCTTTTCCAATAAGTTACTAATATTGAAGTGACTAAACTTCCTTCTCAACTATAGATTGAATTAGTTAGTATTCTCTCTGCGAATATGGACCTTGTAGCGGTTAGTCTTCAAATTCTACAAATATATCTGAGCTTAATTGGCTTAGTAGGATAACCAAAAATCCTCTTGAGATTTCAACCGGGTTGATTACAAAACCTACCATGGTTTTAACCGGGCTAACCATGAACCTACTAGTAAGATCTTCAAAGCTATATGATCTTTAACCTATATATAAACTGATAGGAACAAATCACACAATCCCCAACCATAAGCTTTTAACGAGTTTAGCTTCTAACCACATATATGATCGCTAAAGTGATTGTATTCATCCAAGGTGCATAAATAATATCCTGGAGAACTTATACAATGCTACCCTTCCAGAATTATAATGATCATCTCACTTACAAATGAAACTTTCCTCACAAAAGCATTTGTCTATAAGAACTAGTGAGAGAAAGTGAAAAATGAAACTTAGAGAGAGAGAGAGAGAGAGAGAGAGAGAGAGAGAGAGAGATTTTCAATACACAAATCGTGTTCTGGATGATTTGAAACAAGAAATGAGACCTCTATTTATAGGCAAGAAAAATGCCCAAAACAGGAATTTCATTTAATGAATTTGACCATTGTCTAATTGTTTGGACTTTTAATTTAATCGATTAAATATTCAAAATATAGTTATTGCTGGTCATTTAAAAAGAAATAAGATTTTCCTAGTCGTTGTACATTAATAAGGAGCAGTCTAAATAACTTAGGGCTTATGTTTGAACTTTTATAATCGATTGGCATAAAGTTTTAATCGATTAGATTAGTCAAATATTTTCCTTTAGCTATTTACATCGCTCCTAAGTCATCTAGCACAACTTTAAGGACACTTTAAAAATATTTTCTCTTAGTTAATATATTTGAAAAAATGTTTTAGTTTGTGCGCGTGTGTGTGTGTTTGTGTGTGTACTTATAGCCATATACTTTTACGAAAAAACCATTTTCTTTTTAAAAAAGACCACTCACTTACTAAACTAGAAGTTTGACTCCTTCTACAAGCTTTTTGTCAGATATCATCTTCTGTGTTGACACTACTTGAAACTTTTTGAGGCTTTAGATAATTTATCTTGGTTTGCCTTCTCCTTTGAATAGTCAACTTCTTCAAACCTTTACATTCGTTGTTTCCATATTTAATCGCTTAAGTGCTTTTTGACTTATCCTTTGTTGTTTTCTTTATCATGATGAAGTCTTCTTAGTATTTTACCTTTGTAGTTATCATCATCAAAAGAAAACCTATTACTTGCAAAATAAGGTTCCACAAATTCTTCCATAGATTTTGATGATGAATAATTCTCCACTCATTGTATTTGTTTATTTATCAATTAGTAGACAAGTTTCTCTATATTAGGGATTTTTGAAATGAACCTTATTTTTACTCTGTTGGATCATATGTTTGTTTGAGATTTGTTGAGTAATTTTAATGTTATTATCTTATTTAAATTGTTATTGTGAATGCTTTTTGTCGCTTACGCACACACAAATCAATATAGATAATTAGGGATTTTTTATTGATAGTCTAATTATCTGAACTAGGAAATTTATTCAACTTTGTAATAAATTAGGAATAGGAATTTAGAAGTTGTTTCTAATGAATTAACTCACTTATAACACCTAATTTGTTTTTGAATTGGCCTAATGAATTAGGGAATTACCGTATAAATTAGTGAGCTACACATCAAGGAATTGGATATAGTGGATATGTTAATTCGTTGTGAGATAATAATATGATTGAAACTCAACAGGTACACAGTTCATCAACAGGTAAAAATAAGGGGATTCGGTAAATAGTCCTAATTGCCTTTCGCAATCTTGAGTCACTTATTTTTCATTTCTTGTTTAGAACCACTTTTTGAACAAAAACCCCCATTTAATTAGTAAATTTTACAATTAATTTTCTTGTTAATATCCAATCCTCATGCAGACGAACATTTTATTATTACTTCGAGATTACCAGTATACTTGCTGAGAGGTCATCAATCACCAACCAACACCCAAGAACCATCAATAATGTTCTTCTGGTTAATGAGGTGGAGCCACATGTCAAGATGAGAAGTGTATACGGGAATAGCATAATTTCCAATTACATACCAAGAGGAAGTTTCCAATAATATCTTGATAGTAATTGTATCCATAAGGATATCATGCACGACCATTATAATGTTACTACCATTTTACTTTAACATCCAAATGCCCCTGGCTTGACCACGTGCATCCACGTAGTTAACACTTCTATATCCAGCTATGTGCCAGAAGGAATTGGTCTTATGAAAACCAATGTGTCTTTTCTTAATGATTAAAAACATTGGATGGTGTTTTCTAATCAAATCCATCATGTGCCTTTTAGCCTTATTATTAGAGGCTCCCTAGAGATTCCAAGAAAGCACACTGACTTCTTTGAAACCAAACATAACTAGTCAAATTGATGAATGTGACAAAGTAAGTCTTGGACATGATACAATTAACATAACATGCTCCCATTTAATCAGAGTTTCACGAACAACTTTCTCTTATTGAGTAGCACACTCATCTATAACACATTGGTTACTTTCATCTGTCTGACTTGTTATTAGTTGAAAATGTGAAATGTTGTATCGTGTGATGGTCTCCAAACCCAAATTTACTATGGGAATAATGGAGGTGTATTTAGCGATGCTAATCACACCCTTTTGTGTTGTGTGAGAATTAAAAGTTGGCTTAGTTTTGTGTGAAGACCCAATAATAGCATGGTGTGGTTCAAAAATGCCAGACTTGGCCTTGGCGCATGGGTCCCCTTTCTGTGTTGACTGACACACGTCTGGGGTGGCTCCCCTCTTATCAAATCATCGCTTCTTGGAAATAGAATCAAGTTGATTGGGCCCACCTGTTTGTTGTCAGCACTTATCTTTTAAGGAAACATTAGTCTCATTCATTTTAGAATTCCTTGGATCTCTATGCACATTATTGAATAAAGAATTTCCTGGAACACAACTAACTTTTTTGTTATGTTTTTTCCTCTGCACCACTAGTCAATCATCATGAACTACATTTATTTCTCTAGATTCTTTTGCTACAATTTATGTGTTATCATCACCTACTTCCTAATGGAGTTCCATTAATCTTTTCTCTTGGACATCATCGTTTTCCGATGGACCTCTTGCTTACGCCATCGTTGGAACGACTGACTGTCAGATTATGTGGTGATTTCTTTCAATCACGGGTGTGATGTCCATAGCAGTCACAATTGGAGTAAATAATGTGAAGACTTTCATATTGCACGTTGTACTAGTGACCATTAACATTGACATTTTCGACAGCTGGTATGGTAAGATTAATCCCCATGCAAATTTTTGCAAACCTCCTCCTCTCTACTTTCAGAGTATTAGTATCTATCTTAATTAGAGTGTCCACAACAAATATCAAATCAAGAAGGACACTTTCATTGTGATACAATAAGTTAAGCCCTTGAAATCGAATCCAAACCAAAGTCTTTTCCACTTTTGCGAGAGGAGATGCAAAGTATGGAGTCCATCGAACCACTGTCAAATAATGGTCAAACAACATCCACAGGTCTTCTGACTTAACTTTCTCCCTATTTGTGAGCAGTTCACACTTGATCATAAAGAAACTATTATCAACGCTCATGATCCCAAAACCTCCTGTAAGTTTTCACATATTCTTCAATATACCCTTCATCAAATGATAGACAACGTTTTTCACAATTGGAGTTTAATGACAAGCATCTCCTTCCAAGGATTGTACAGTTCCTGAAAAAGTTTCTCATCTATTGTGACTTGTGGTAGCAATCTATTGAAGTTTCTCATCTTCAATAGAGACTTTCATAAGTCCCTTTTCAATCAGGTCCACTATCTCTTTCACATTAGTGACTTTTTGGCCTCTAGTGAGAATATTCCGGAACAAAAATCTAGGAGGCTTAGATGCACCCCCATTTGGTGGCTTGACAGGCGTCGGCAACGTGGAAGCAGCGAAAATAAAAAACTTCATGCAAAAACTCCTCCACTATTCAAAAGTTATTGCTATTAATGTGGTCAGATAAAATAGCCACCAAAAACTCTCTCTTCTTTCTACAAAAAAAAATTCAAAACAAAATTCATTAAAAAAAATTTTTAAGAGAAACTATTTTATGGATTTTCAAAACAAAATAAAAAATTACCAATAACTTTCTTGTAAACATGTTATCATGGTATAACTTATTTGCTATGTAAACGCTTCCTGAGATATTTTCATGGATATAATTTCGTCCTCATTCCATTTGTCCTTTCTATTAATTTGTATCATATTTAGAAAAATATAATAAAAAAATGCACCATCTATCATCTCATTCCATTCATTCATAATCCATTATCCACACCAGGACCTGGCTTCATGAATGATGTAAACTCCATTCCATTATACAGTGTGTTCTTACATTTACATTAATCCTTCAATATTTGGAGTTGAAGTAATTGCTGATGTTGTTGGCAGGTTAAATTCTCTATGCACATTGAACCACACATTTATAGAACCAAGATGTTGCATCAATGAACCCGAAAGGAAATCAAATGACTCCAATGGCGTGGCCTTGAAGAAGTTCAAGAAAGACAGTGTTTACATTGACAAAACCGGCAAATTAAGGAACTTCAATCACAAGAAACTTTCAAGGAAAAGCTGTAACTAATGATATCCTAGCTGAAACATAACAAGATTGTTCCTTAAACATGTCTTTGCATGCGTGCACGCGTGTGTGTCTGTGTTTGAAAATTATGTTTTAATTTCATTTTGTAGGTGGTTCTTTGAGAGGAAGAGGATGGAAATTTGGTTCTGGATTTGTTGATGGGATTTTCCCAGTTTTGAGTCCAACTGCACTGCAGATTTTGGAGTATCTTCAAAAGGAAGCCGATACCGAGAGAATATGGAGTTCATTGGACAAGCTTCCACCTTCTCTTGATGCATGGGATGATGTTTTAACCGTGTCCGTTCAACTTCGCATCAGAAAACAATGGGACTCAATCATTTCGGTGAGACTTTATATATAGACTAAGAGTATAACTAACTATTATCTAGTATAACCAATTTGTAACTAACTTGCAACTAATAACTAACTTTCATCTGGTGGAACCAATTTGTAACTAACTTTCATCTGGAGTAACCAATTTGTAACTAACTTTCATCTGGAGTAACCAATTTGTAACTAACTTGTAACTAACTTGTAACTAATTTGTAACTAATGTTAGTATTTGTGACACTTTCAGATATGTAAATGGATATTGCTAAGAAGCACATTCAAGCCAGATGTGATATGCTATAATTTACTGATAGATGCTTTTGGCCAAAAATTTCTATACAAAGAGGCAGAATCCATATATTTGCAGCTTCATGAGGCTAGATGCATTCCTAATGAAGACACCTATGCCCTACTCATAAAGGCCTATTGTATGTGTGGGAAGCTTCAGAATGCTGAAGCAGTTTTCGCAGAAATGCGAAATTATGGTCTTCCTTCGAGTGCTGTTGTGTACAATGCTTACATAGATGGATTAATGAAAGGAAGAAACTTCGAGAAAGCGGAGGAGATTTTTCTTAGAATGAAGAGAGATGGTTGCATGCTATCGATCGAAAGCTATACAATGTTGATAAATTTATATGGCAAAGTAAGCTCTTAACAGTTATTTATTTCTAGGTCATGATTATGCTAATTGTATTGAAAATTGAGTTTTGTTTGCAGGATGGTAAATCCTATATGGCCTTGAAAGTGTTTGATGAAATGCTAAACCAAAAGTGCAAACCTAATATTTGCACATATACTGCTCTAGTGAACGCGTTTGCGAGAGAGGGATTATGTGAGAAAGCAGAAGAGATATTTGAGCAGATGCAAGAAGCTGGAATTGAGCCTGATGTATATGCTTATAATGCACTTATGGAAGCTTACAGGTTGTTATTGGAAGATGGTATAGGTGCATTCTTGAATGATTATTGTATTAGATATCGAGAAACATTCATGATTTTTCTTCCCGGAATAGTCGTGCAGGTTTTCCTTATGGAGCAGCAGAAATTTTTTCACTGATGCAGCATATGGGATGTGAACCAGATAGAGCCTCATATAATATCTTGGTGGATGCATATGGGAAAGCAGGTTTTCAAGATGGTAAAAATCTAATCTAAAAATTGTCATTTTGTTTGGTTTTTCTATTGACTCTGACGATGCAGTGTCGTGTTTCATGATGCTACATCATCTATTGGACTAACAAATTGTTTTCAAAGTTTGTAATGTTTGCTTCAACCAATTTTCTTGACGATACACTTATAAATCATTTGTTTGCCGCTGTGATGTGTCTAACACATGTTTTTATATAGAAGCTGAAGCTGTTTTTGAAGATATGAAAAGAGTTGGAATAACACCAACAATGAAATCCCACATGGTACTTTTATCTGCATATTCCAAAACGGGAAATGTGAGTAAATGTGAAGACATTCTCAACCAAATGTGTAAATCAGGTCTAAAACTCGACACTTTTGTTCTCAACAGCATGCTGAACTTGTATGGAAGGTTAGGCCAATTTGGAAAAATGGAAGAAGTTTTAACTGTGATGGAAAAAGGATCATATGTAGTTGATATTAGCACATTTAACATCTTGATGCATAGGTATGGACAAGCAGGATTTATTGAGAAAATGGAAGAACTCTTTCAATTACTTGTTGCCAAAGGTTTAAAACCTGATGTGGTTACTTGGACTAGTCGTATTGGAGCTTACTCCAAAAAAAAGCTTTATCTAAAGTGCTTAGAAATATTTGAAGAAATGATTGATGCTGGTTGTTATCCAGATGGAGGAACTGCAAAAGTGCTTCTTGCAGCATGCTCTAATGAAGATCAGATTGAGCAGGTTACTAATGTGATTAGAACAATGCACAAGGATATGAAGACTGTTCTGCCAGTAGCATAGGTTTAGTATAAGATATTCACACATTAAAATGTAATGTGAATCAAAGAAATAGTTAAAATGTTGAAGAGTAAACGAACTAGAAGAGAATGACTGAAATTAACATAAGGTTTGAAACAATCTGAATCCTATTTGAAGGTGAATTACATTTTCAAACACTTACCACTTGGAGTACACCTGCGTTTCTGAATTTTAGATGTTATAAGATTTTGCGCATGAAGTTGCTAGATGAACCTCCAAAACCGAAGGGCCAAATGTTGTTGAACCAATAATAGTTTGAACAACAATGCTCTTAACTTGTACTCTAGTTTTAAAGATAACAACACAAGGTAAGGCAATGATTTTTTTTGTCAAATGTTTGTTGTATTTGTCAAATGATTTTAATGAGATTCATAAAGAATAAGAAAGTTTTACAAAATGATCATATGATGTAATAGATGAATCTGCAAGATTTAGTCTAACATAGTGACCAAAAAAGAATCTTGGTATTGCACTATTGAAGCATCTTTTGGACGCGTGTCATGGTGACTCGCTCTTGTACATGCGTGTGTAAGCTATCAATGTTATCCTTTAGTCAAGCACTCAAGCTCTGTTAGCATCATCTTTTGAAAGATCAAAACACTTGTTAGTGTATGATAGACAATTTTAACGAGTGTACTAGTCTTGTCGATGCAATAAATTAAATTAGTCCTTGTATAGATTGTAAATTTTAATAAGGTAACAATTATGCGAATTAAAGTAAATAACAAATGAATTTTTTTTCAAGATTGATTTGATACACAAAATAAGAATGAGAAACTTTACGGAATAAAATTTATTGATTAAAGACGATTAGATCTTTATTTTGACTCTCTTACTTATACATATTGATGAACTGTGTATTAATTGAATTACTAATATGTTAAAGTCATACATAAAATTAACAAGGCCACTGCACCCAATTCCTTGGTATACAACTCACTAATATATATAATAATTTTCTAATTCCTTAGACCAATTAAGAGTTAAACTATGAGTTCTAAGTGCGTTAATTGAAAAACCACAACTTCTAATTACCTATTCCTAGTTAACTAAAAAGTTGAATAATTGCCCTAAATCATATCGGTAGACTTAATGTCAATAATCCCTATTCATCTGATATGGGTTTATGCATTCGTCAATACACAAAAAAGAATTAAAATCAAGAACAATTAAATAATAACAACAACATAAAGATTTCAATTAATCTCAAAGAACCATATAATCCAACAAGGTACAAGCAGGTTTGTCTCAAAAGACCTAATCAAAGGAATCTAATTACTCATAGTTCATGTAATACTTACCATGAGTTTAGATGAAGAGGCCATGAAAAACAAGGAAGATAGATATCTTCAATGACTTCCAAAACCTTCAAAATTTTGCCTTTAAAACTCCAAGCCGTCAATTTCTCTATCAAATTCAGAATTCATCTAAAAGTAGAAAAAACCTATTTATAGGGATTTCTATGTGACAAGATAACACGCCGCGTGCCCGCACTGGTAAGCATTGTGATCGCGATGTGACATCATTGCGCCCACAATGTCAGCATCGCGATCGCGTGAAATCCCGAGGCTAAATGTTTCTATTTTCTTCCTTTTTCTTCAATATTTTCACTATGTCCATATTTCTTTCTATTGATGGATTTTTGCTCACTTCTTCACACTTTGGCATGACTTTTGCTCATTATTCCACCGATTTCATCCGAATTTACTCATAAGTATTACGTAATGACCGACTGTCATCACAACTCCAAACTTACTTAGTTGCTTGTCCTCAAGTAACCACCTATCTGCACATTGAAAATTTCATCAAAATTAAAATGACCCTTACCAATAAACGTCACATCTATATTTCTGATCAACACTTTTGTTCTCTAATTCAATCCAATCAACTTGGAAAATTTTTCCAAACATACTAGTACTTCAGCATGTATCTAATCTCACACATATGCACTCAGTTTGAAAGTGTAATCATACAATCAACATACAAAAAATTAACAACGAGTTTGTAAAGTTTCTAACCGAGTCAATCAAAGTTATATTTAAACACACACTTTTAAGATATTTTCAAGGTTGTAACTTAACTTATGTCAGGGTAGAATAATTTAGGATATTGGACTTAAACATTTGAAGTTAAGTATTTGGTTTTCCTTATGTTACCTTTATCCTTTCATATCACTCTTTTCTTGATCAACCGATACTATAGAATTCATTTTATTGGTCCTATTTCTCATTCTTTATTCAATTTTTTTTGAAGAAGTCATTTTTAACTTCTTGTTTTTCTTTTTCTTTCTTTTTGACCAATTTCTCTAGTACCCCAACCCCAAACTTAAACATTACTAACTTCTAAGAACAATCCCAAAGTTACTCTTTTGCACCAGATAAGGAAACTAAATATTTCTACCTAACTTCAAAGAGGATGGAAAGATTTAATCTTTCAAGTCTAAAGGCTATATAACAAGCTATGTCATCTAAAGAAAGGCTAACGCTCAAAGTGGTTAGCAAATGATATATTCATATTAAAATAGGATGGCCTAAAAGGCTCAAAATTTTCACAAACAAATGTCTCAGTGTGTATTTATTAGACTAATAAACTCAAATTAGAAACAATTCAAATTCTAAAAAAATAACTAATGCACGAATACTCTCAAAGAAGGAAAAGTGAACAATGGAAGTATTTGGCTCAAATCTTACAGCTAAGGTGTCTGGAGATTGAGTACAAGTAGATGGCTTCCTTTTTCTTCATCAACTTTCAATATGCAAGGTAATTTCATAGTTGATCTCTTTTGTTCTTTTTTTCTGATGATCCTTTTTCTTTTCTTTTTCTTAATGACACCGAAAAGGTAGAAAATTAAAACTGAAAGAAATAACAAAAGCAAACAAGTTCATTAATTAAAGCAAAGATAAGTACAATATAGAAAGAGTATTCATGATAGTTATCTAGTACTATTATTTGGATCATATTACAAAAAGGGAAATACTGAAATAAAAATGAAAAATGCAAAAAAAACTCTCAGGTCATATGTTGCTGGAGTTGAAAAAGTCGTTCACTCGACCCATCTCATCTTGGAATTCATGGTTTTGCATGTTCTAGATGGTCCTCATTTTATCCCTTTGGTTTATCAAGGCTTGGCCTTGCTCTCTAAAATAAGTTTCCATTGCTTCAACAGTTGGAAACTGCTCCCTTAAATTTTGAACCGGCAAGTGATCTTTGTGCTCATTGTAAAAAGCATGATAACTTGGTATAAATCTAGGTGGTTCATAATACAAGTTAGGTGCCATTCTGGTGGCCGAACTCGTCATGCCCAAAACACACTTCTCTAGACTTTGCAAGTGATCAAGTGCTTATTATTGTGGGATTCCTTCTAGATGATGAATATTTGTATGATAGAATTGATCTTGCTCATCTTGTTGTGTTCCTTAGTCATATTCATTATTTTCTTGTGTGGGAATTCCCCTCATAAAACTTTTGTTGATCGACATCATAAAACTCAAGTCACATCTGTTGTACCCCAAAATTTTTCCTCTCATTTCTCAAGACATTTCTCACAAAGATCTGCGAAAGCTCAAGCTTGCACCAGTATTGACTAGGTTAAGCCATCTCCTAAACACTGATATCTCAAGATTAGGGTTTGAATTTGCATAAGGACAATTGGACTTCTAATACTTAAAGTGACGTTCTTGGATCATTATGGGCCTTCTAGAATGCTCATGTCAAGTTTCAAGTCTTCTCAGTCAATTGACCAAGAGACCAAAAATCAACTGTACTGATGAAAAAAGTCAATTGTAGCACCAAAAGTCAAACTTTGACTTTTTGGTCAACATTCAGTCTCAAAGATCAAAATTCATCAAGACATTCAAAAATATGAAACTTGATCATCAAGAAATCAAGAAAGTCAAAAGTCAACTTGAAAAGTCAAGATTGCCAAGACAAAAATTTTCTAAGTGTTTTTATACATGATAATTTCATCACTTCATGCCATTCTTTCACCAAGATATAAGATGATTCAAAAGAAGCTTTCAACATGAAAGTTGTAGATTTCCATGATATCTATAACATTGTTGTACATAACTTCTTCTAAATATGCATGGATCTCAAGTTATAAATTCATGAAATCATAACATTTTCATTTAACACTTAGAGAAATTTTTCAACAGATTTTGTGCAGGATTTTATCCCAACTTCTTGGAATTTTTTCACATAGTTCCAAGATGATTTTGTCAAAATGGCCAACATGAAAGTTATAGAGGGTGTTTCAAGCTTTCCAAAACATCCAAGATCATGAATTTATCATACTTGAGCTAGGAGATTCAAGGGCATGAAGTTGGGCATCCACCCTTAATTTGCAAGTCATTCTATTGAAGAACACACAACAAAACCCTTATGCTATGCTGCATAATCTTACTTTGCAGGCCTTTTGACTTGCAAATATCTATATAATTTAATGTTTACACAAGAGCTTGAGCTATTATCCAAGTGTTTAAGCCATTGTCCAAAGGATCTCTCCATTTATGGCATAAAGGCACCATTACTATTCTTGAAAAGCAAGCTTTTTGTATAAAACTTGTCTTGAGCCCATACTTTGTTTGTTTCTGATTTTACTCCACCATAAAACATGGAAATCAACCCCTCTAAACAAGCAACTTTGGTACTTCACCTTGGGACCATGGAGTACTTGATATAGTTTGATACTTACATCCCAACCAAACCATAACATGTTGTGTTGTAAACTTATTCAGTCTTTGTTCATAAGTCCTTTGCCTATAAATAGAAAAAGCATTTGCAAGACAAAGGGGTTATAAAAAAGAGAGAGAAAGGCCAGAAAAAATAGGAGGGGAAACTAACACTCAAAATCATTTTTGCGGTCAAAAACCAAATTTGTACACAAAACCTCCATTTTTGAGCTTTGAAGTCCAAATCTTTGAATCTCATACCTTGCAAGTTTTCTCAAAACAAACCATCCAAACACTTCATATACACCATAT